CTCTCTCTCTCTCTCTCTCTCTCTCTGTCTCTCACAATAAATAAACATTAAAAAAAAAGAATAGCCACCAATGAAGTGTATCGAATTATGCAATAGGCAGATCAAAAAAATAATTAAGTTGGTGACTTCCCATCTAAAATAGGGTTTTTAATGTTGAAATCAAAGAAAGACCACAAAATGTCCGGCCCTGAACTGGTTCTCGTCACGGCCACCTCTGAACAATCAGGAATCGAGCCCGGTGACCGTCACCGGTCGATTCCACGGAGTGGAAGATGTACGCATGTCTGTAAAGGGCCAGACAGCACACATTTTAGGCTCGGTGGGAGCATGTGCCCTCTGCCACTGTTCTTTGTTCTTTTAACAAACCTTTACAGAAAGTAGCTCACCGGGGCTGTACAGGCTGCAGGCTGATGTGGATAGTTTCCGATGAAGAGGAGGAGCAGCCTGACCTTCCAGACTTCTAAAAGCAATTCCTGAATTTTATCCGTGTCATTCTCACCCCCTTAGTCTGTTAACCGTTTAAGTAACAGACTTAACGGAGCTTAAGTCTGTTACCGTTTAAGACTTTAGTGAAACTAACCAGGACTGTTACAAGATGCATTTTTGAAGTGGTTTTGTTTGACTCGGTTGATGACGTAGCTGGATGATATAATTCCGCCACTTTACAGGCCTAGAAAACCTGTCAAAACACATGTGAAGTCTGCCTCGTAAGATCTCATGTGATGATTAACATGTGGTTGATTGTGCAATGTCCCAAGTGTCCGTGATCTCGTTGGAGAGAGAGCTGAAAACATTCAAGGGTTGTCAGGCCACTCTTTTGCGTTTCTATAAATCCAGTAAATTTTTCACCGCTCCGTTTTACCTGAGGGGAAGGTTCCAGGAAACAGAATTTAGCTGCTGGAGAGCAGTGGTTCTCAAATGTAGTCATCAAGCCAGCAGCGGCATTGCTGGGGGTTCGTGTTAGAAATGCAGATTCTCTGTTCCCACCCCAGGCCAGCAGAGTCGGAACTCTGGGGATGGGGCCCAGCAGTTTGAGCTTACCCCACACTCCAGCATGTTCTCATCCCTGGAAGGTCAATATTACGCTTACAAAGCAACAGTGGCCCCAGGGAAGCTGAGGGCCAAAGCTATCGGATCAGAATAATCCTGACAAAATAATTCATGGAACAAACAGCTGTCATTCGCTCACTTCAGAAAGAAGCCTTAGGGGTGCCTGGGTGGCTGAGTCGGTTAAGTGTCCGACTTCAGCTCAGGTCATGATCTCGCAGTCCGTGAGTTCGAGCCCTGCGTCGGGCTCTGTGCTGACAGCTCAGAGCCTGGAGCCTGTTTCAGATTCTGTGCCTCCCTCTCTCTCTGGCCCTCCCCCGTTCATGCTCTGTCTCTCTCTGTCTCAAAAATAAATAAACGTTAAATAAAATTAAAAAAAAAAAAAAGAAAGAAGCCTTAATTATTATCATTGCCTTTCGGTGACGTGCCCGCAGAAAAACTAGACTAGTAAAATGTGAAAGTATTTAAATCCTTCGTTATCAAATTCTCATTACTGTCATCTAACACGCTAAAGGACATTGTTTGAATTTGACAAAGGGTTATGTTTTTATCAGGCACATTCATTTAATTATGCAATGGAGAATAACTGCTTGTTTACATGATTTTTAGACAGACGGCAGTGTTTATACATTTTCCACTGTGTGTGTGAATCAAAATCAAGCTTCTGAATTTTCCCATTTTATTGGCTTTCTCTTGCACCTTTATTTGTTATACATATGTGTTCTTAAAATTTTTCTTTTTAGGGCCCCCCAGGTGGCTCAGTCAGTTAAGCACTGGACTCTTGACTTTGGTTCAGGTCATGATCTCAGAGTTTGCAGGATAGAGCCCCACGTCGGGCTCTGTGCTGATAGTGCAGAGCTTGCTTGAGAGTCTCTCTCTCCCTCTCTCTCTGCCCCTCCCTCCCTCTCTCTCTTCTCTCTCTCCTTCAGGAAATAAACATTTAAAAATAAATAAATAGGGGCAACCTGAGTGGCTCAGTCGGTTGAGCCTCCGACTTCGGCTCAGGTCATTATCTCACGGTCCATGAGTACAAGCCCCACGTCGGGCTCTGTGCTGCTGGCTCGGAACCTGGAGCCTGGAGCCTGCTTCGGATTCTGTGTCTCCCTTTCTTTCTGCTCCTCCCCTGTCCGTGCTCTGTCTCTCTTCTTGTTTGTCTGTCTTCTTGTTTGTTTATTGATTTGTCTTGTTTTTAGATTCCACGCATGAGTAAAATCACACGGTGTTTGTCTTTCTAAGGCACAGTCACGTCTTGTCTTGTTTACTTGTGAGATACGAAAACACAGGAGATTTTTCCGGGTAATACGAATCCCTCTGTGTCTCTCTTGTTCTGTCTTCAAGTGGTTTGGCCAGTGTTCTTTCTACATTAATGGTAAAATAGAACTTTTTCAGATGCAAGGGACCTTGATGGTTGGAGAGATGAAACTGTCAGAAAGTTGAGAGAAAACAGCAGCGTCATAGCCATGGTGTGATGGGGGGGTGGTGCAGCGGGGGGTGACTTCAACTTCTTTACTGATCTTCATTTTTTACAGGATGAGAAGTGGCTATTAGAAAGGCAGGAGCAACTGGGACTTGGCCAACGCATGTACGTCTAGATGATACATTTTGGGGAAAATGTCAGGAAAGGCCAAGAGTGTAGTTTAGGGGTATCGGCTACTGGTAGGAAGGGAAAATTAGCCACATGGATTTCCCCCTTGCGTATGTGTGTGTTGACTTACACATCTCAATGCACTAATAAAGACATGTTGTACTTAGGTTACTTTTTAATGTCTCCCCCTGTAGGATCTGAGGTGGTTAATTTTGATGGAAAGAGCTCCTTGATATACACATTGAATCAGAAGTCCGTGAGTCCAACAAAAGATGTCATTTCTTTGAAATTTAAGACCAGGCAGACCGATGGGATTCTACTCCACCGAGAAGGACAAAATGGCAAACACGTCACCCTGGAGTTAGTTAAAGGAAGACTCATCTTATCCCTTAATTCAGGTAAAAACCTACCAGGTGGTGTTTTTGAAAATGAGCTTGTTGAGATGAAAGTATCTTTTTGTGTTAAATTTTTCACAGCTACGTAGTTAACTCATCCTGAAACTAGAACGCTTTTTAAAAAATTTTTTTTAGCATTTTTAAATTTATTTTGGAGAGAGAGGGAGACAGAGCCCGATCCGGGGAGGGGCAGAAAGAGAGGGAGACCCAGAATCCGAGGCAGGCTCCGGGCTCCGAGCCGTCAGCACGGAGCCCGACTGTAGGCTCAAACTCATGAACTGTGAGATCATGACCTGAGCCGAAGTTGGACGCTTAACCGACTGAGGCCCTCAGGCACCCCAACCAGAACACTTTGGAGAAAGAAGGGAGACCCTGTAAGTCATTACTCTGGAGCAACAGCTGTAAACCAGAACATCCGAGGCAAACTGTCCTCTGGTCGAGGTGTGCTCCAGGCAACATGTATTTATCTTGAGCATACTTCACTGTGAAAACTTTTAATGCTTGATAACCGTATAAGACCGTTTGTACTTCGTCAATAACCTGATAACATTGTAGAGGCAAGGGTGGAGCATTGGATTTTTAAGGTAGTATTAGAAATGAGGTCCCAGCGGGGCGCCTGGGTGGCTCAGTCGGTTGAGTGTCCGACTTCAGCTCAGGTCACGATCTCGCAGTATGTGAGTTCGAGCCCCGCGTCGGGCTCTGTGCTGTCTGCTCAGAGCCTGGAGCCTGTTTCAGATTCTGTGTCTCCCTCTCTCTCTGACCCTCCCCCGTTCATGCTCTGTCTCTCTCTGTCTCCGAAATAAATAAATGTTAAAAAAAAACCAAAAAAAAAAAAGAAATGAGGTCCCAGGAAGAAGATATTTTCAAGAAAAATGAAAATGCAATAATTGATAATAAGAAGAACAAGGGGTACGTGGGTGGCTCAGTCGGTGAAGCGTCCGACTTTGGCTCAGGTCGTGATCTCATGGTCCGTGGGTTCGAGCCCTGCGTCGGGCTCTGTGCTGACAGCTCGGAGCCTGGCGCCTGCTTCGGATTCTGGGTCTCCCTCTCTCTCTCTCTCTCTCTCTGCCCCTCCCCTGTTTGTGCTCTGTCTCTCAGAAATAAATAAAACATTTAAATAATAATAATAATATAAACAAGAAATGCGGAAGAATTTATTCACAAATGAGAGAAGGTTGTGTGTGAGACTAATGTCAGAGCAGCCGACCAGTGCTTGGGAGAGAAGGAGGGAAGGAAAGTGTAGTTGTGAGAAACGCTGCCCTCCACGTGGCCGTCATAGTGTTGAATTGGAGTGGTGCATTACTTCCCCTGTCCTTCTAGGCCATGCTAACCTGCCGTCCCCTGACGCCCGTGTGACCCTCACCCTGGGCAGCCTGCTGGACGACCAGCACTGGCATTCTGTCCTCTTGGAGCTCCTGAACGCACACGTCAACTTCACCGTGGACAGGCACACGCAGCATTTCCAGGCAAAGGGCGGGTCCCGCTATTTGGATCTTGATGATGAGGTGTGAAAATTACTTTTTAAGTATTAACGGATTTAAATGCAACCTGACCTTCTAGGAAAATGGCACGACACAGAGAAATCCCCTTGGCTAGCAATTCAGAATTCCGGTGAAGCGTTTCCCACGGCTGACGTCGGCGCGTGACGTGCCCGTGTGCCGTCGAGACGTTTCATCACTCGTCGATGTTAGTTTTCACACGAGAGGCAGTGGGCGTTAAAGCTGGGAAGTGTGTGCGTGAAGAGCTACCGGGACAGCAGGCCGCGCTTAAAAATGATTTGTTCAGACAGTTCTTTGGTGTTACGTCTGGTGTCAGATGTCAACACTTACCTTGGAGATCTCTCTGTGTTTTAGGGCAATCCTACACGGAATTAGCGATCTAGGGGACCTCGGAGAAGTGATCCCTGTATATTCCAACATGCTTTTTTGAGGAGCAGGAGAGCCAGAAGTGCAGGATTCCAGATACCATTTCTTGGGATATTTAAAGGTTTAACGTATTCGCAGTGTGTTGCCTACGCGGGTCGACCCTACGCTGAAATGCCCCTTTTGTTCCGCCGGTTCTGCTCAGCACATCTGTCAGAGCAAATGGGATGATTTCAACATTCATTTAGGATAAGTGGCCTCAGCAGAGGAGGCCAGCTGGAGAGCCTGGCCTTGAATGAGATTATCAATGGCTTTATTATTCTAACCTATCAGCAGAGCCACCGCAAGGACCAGGACCCTAAAGTCTGGGTTCCAGAAAGGTTTATAAAGTAGAATGTCATCACGGGCAGAGGTATGGTCGCATAGATCAAGAGTGACCATGGAAATCGATGTGCGATATTCCCCATCGGCTAAAGTGACAGAGTCGGTTTGAGCGGCACCTTGCAAGATGGGTATTTAACCTATTTATCTAGATATAATGAAACATTGCAAAATCTACATCGAAAACTTCATTTGAAATTAACACGATAATGCAAAATAATGCTGGATAGATTTGCGACAGTTATTGTACGCCTGCTCGTCATAAATGTTTTAGGCAGATAATCAGAAAATCATTAAACAATATTATTTATGTCATTTTTTTTCTTTCTAAGATCAGCTTCGGAGGGATTCCCGGACACAGAAAATCAGTGGTGTTCCCACATAAAAACTTTCACGGCTGCTTCGAAAACCTCTATTATAATGGAGTGGATATCATTGATTTGTCCAAGAAACGCAAACCGCAGACCCTCGTCGTGGTAAGAAAGTCTGTTTGCGAGGTCAAGAGAAAACTTGCAACTTGCAGCTTGCCTGATTGGTTCGGTTTTAGAATACACCTGTCCTGAAGGCAGGGAAAGTACCAGTCATATATACTTTTCAGTTCATATTTAGTCCATGTTAATTAATCGATTAGATTTTATTTATTTATTTATTTTTTTACATTTTTTTTTTTTCAACGTTTATTTATTTTTGGGACAGAGAGAGACAGAGCATGAACGGGGGAGGGGCAGAGAGAGAGGGAGACACAGAATCGGAAACAGGCTCCATCCAGGCTCTGAGCCATCAGCCCAGAGCCTGACGCGGGGCTCGAACCCACGGACCGCGAGATCGTGACCTGGCTGAAGTCGGACGCTTAACCGACTGCGCCACCCAGGCGCCCCAATCGATTAGATTTTAAAATGCAACTTACTGGCGAAAGTTTTAATTCCGGTTGGTTTACAAGCAGTGTAATATCACCTTCAGGTGTACCATATAGTGATTCAACATTTCGCCCCAACACCCGCTGCTCATTCTAAGTGTGCTCCTTACCCCCCATTGCGTTCTTTCTTAATTTTTACGTACGTATGGAAGCCGACGCAAAATTTCTCAAATATTTCTCCGACACTTCTTGATCACGGGCAGCCTCGGTGATGCCAGCCTCGAACCTTATCTCAGTGCTCAGGGGCTGTGCGTGGGGATCTGGTTCCGTCTTGCGATGTGCGAGAGCGCTCCGTTGTTTCTGCGAAGGGGGGCAGGGTCTGCGGATACGCAAGGGGGAGGTTAGCAAAAGCATTTGTGTGACTCCCAAAGGAAAAACATCGTGCTAAAAAAGGTTAGGTCTAGGCTGTTGAGAAAGTGGACGTGGCTTTGAACCGACTGGCTGGGAGAGTTTGGGTCCCTCTGTCTTCAAGGCCAGTGGTCTGTCTGCTGTGGATGCAGGGACTTAGGTCAGCAAAGTAAGGAGCTTGTTTTCTGGAAGCAGGTTAACCCCTAAGATGGATGGGAGAGTTGTGACAGTTCCGTCTCTCCATATGGCTGCCGGCCCTCGCCCAGCCTGGCATGTTACTAAGTCAGCACCCGTCCTTCCACGTTTGGGCCCTTATAACCGAATCCTGTACAGATCAGTGGGTTCAGGTTCACCCACATATGTGTGAACGTAGATGCCTCCATGTCCAGCGCCGTTTACAGAAAGGGGATCGTTTTAGAGAAGCTTTTCTCAGTCTCGGTTTTCTGACTCCGCTAAACCTTGTGGAAATTCGTTTAGGTCAGCAGGTGTAGGTCTATGTTGTCACGGCTGCACAGTTTGCCATTAGGAAAGTCATTTTCTAATCAAGACGTTTGCTTTATTTCTACTTCTGTTTTACCACCAACGGGCAGTCGCACCTTTGTTTTCAGATACGGGGTCTTTTATTTGGGTGGGAAAAGTTTCAGGAGTAGAATTTCTTGCCTGGAAGTTTTATGCAGCTTGGAATTTTAATTCATGTTGCTGTTTGCCCCCCCCCCCCAAAACTGTAACATGACATTTGCCATCGGCAGTGTGTGACACGGTCCTTCCATCCAATGTCAGGCAGCCACACGCGTCAAACAGCTCTCAGACTGTTGCCAGCTCAACAGACATGAACTAATAGGGGATGGTTACGTCGTGTTTATCTGACTACCGATGAGTGAAATAATCTTTTGTCCGTTTGGATTTGCTTTTCTGATCACTGTTGATTCTTATTCTTTTGCCCATTTTTAATTTTATTAAAGGATTTTTTTCCTTGTCAATTTATAAGAAAGTTTTATGTTTGGCAGATTATTACCCTTTGTCATTCAGGGTCCAGATAGGTTTTTCAGACTAATCAATTTTATATTAAATGTGAAGTCATGTTCTAATATAATTATGTATTGTATATCGTATCTTTTATATTAAATGTTATATGCTGCGTTGAGTATATAAATGTTTTTATTTGTATGTGGTCAATGTGTCTATGTATTTTTTTACAGCTTTGTAGTATTTGGAATGTTTCTAAAACCCGAGATGCTAGATATAGTCTCACGGATTTTCCGGGAAAAAGTTTTAAGCTGGTTTTATGTGTTTTAAAATTGAAAAAATATCTTTAAGCCTTTGATTGTCTAGGATTTATTCCTTCTGTGGATCAGTTGTCATTTTAAGCCTTAGGGATACCCATTTATTCTTATACTACGTAGTAATTAAGCCCAGCCTTTTGTGTCTAAGTTGAATCGTACCTTTTTTTACACACTGACTGTACATATGTTCTCAGATCTTTCTGTGGGTTATTTATTGGGCTCTGCTGTTACGTTTATTCCTATAGCAATACCATAATGACTTAACTACAGTGCCTTTATGGTGTGGATGCTTTGGCGTCTGCTGAATTAAGTCCCATCTCACTGTATTTCTTTGCATAATATATTTTGGAGAGGAATGGCAATGTTTAGGTACATATTCCTCTGGAATTTATGAAAATGTATCCAATCCCAGGCAAAAATTCTAGTAGAGATCTTAATTCGAGTTATGTTAAGAACTTAAGTTCCTTCTTTTCCAAATGCTGCGATTAAAAATAAGTTTGCTCCTGGAGCCAGAGAAATAATCTAAAGATAAAAGGTGTGTGTTTTTTTGGTAAAATAGAATGAAAGAGTTATAAAAACCTGCCAGGCAGGTCAGACCTTAGGCTGGGTGAACACCCTGGGCGACCCGGCCCGTGAGAGCTTCTGAGAGGCAGCCTGTTTGCCTTTGGAAAGGTCACCTGGCCACATCCTTCCCTTCGGATGTGCAGAAGCATACTGCCCACCTGAGTCAGATGTACACGCGTCACCTGAGTGACACAGCTATAAGCACGTTTACATAACCAAGGCGAATTCAGGGAAGTTCTTGGAGAAGGTGGTCCTTGGTGCTGGGCTTCGTACCAGATATAAACACCTAACACCTTGAGGGGAGAAGTCTGTCTCGTCTGTTGTATCCCACGTCCAGCACAAGGCCTGGGAAAGATGTGGCTCGAGATTCCTTTGCCAAAGCCCAGAAATGGAGAAGACAGAACTCCCCTGAAGGACTCAGAAATAGGTTTGCCCGGAGAGGGCGGGGCTGTGGTTTGAAGGACCTGTAAGGTAAATCTGGACTTAAGTTTGATGGGGAAGCCTAGTTTTGAAAGTCCTAGTTTGCTAGAAGGTTGATAGGATACTGTAAATCTTGGAAAACCCATTGTTGGTGAAATGGAAGTATCCTTCCGGCACCTTCCTAAATCCTCTTTTGCTGTGTTCACAGGGAAATGTGTCTTACTCGTGCTCACACCTTCAGATTGTCCCTGTGACTTTTCTGAGTTCCAGCAGCTACTTGGCTCTCCCGGGTGCCTCTGGAGAGGACAAAGTGTCGGTCGCTTTCCAGTTTCGGACATGGAACAGAGCAGGGCTGTTGCTGACCAGTCAGTTAAAACACGGGTCGGGGGCTCTTGTCCTTGTTCTAAATGATGGAAAACTCAAGCTGAGTCTCTCCCAGCCCGGACATCCATCGAGGGATATCACAGCAGGTAATAGACATTTGTCACGTGTAAACCCGAGATTTGTCATCTCTACAATAAATGAGCAAGTGAACCGATAAGATATTCATAATCCTTCTAGAAGGAACTAATTTCTTTTACCTTTGAAATAGGTATCTCCAGGCTGTTGGTGTGTGACACAAATTTAGCTACATCAAACATAATTGTCAAAAAGTTTAAAAAATAACTTATTTATAAGTCAGTGGTTAGTAATTGGCCGTGAACTTGAAATACTGGAGGCCATTAGCCTGATCCTGAGTAGTCTTGGGAAAATAGAGTTCTGTTTGCTGTCTTTTGAGCTGTTTACACACTGGTTTTCATAATTTTTTTAAGTTTATTTATTTTTGAGAGAGAGAGAGAGACAGACAGACAGAGCATGAGCGGGGGAGGGACAGAGAGAGAGGGAGACACAGGATCCGAAGCAGGCTCCAGGTTCCGAGCTGTCAGCACAGAGCTGGATGTGGGGCTCGAACTCACAAACTATGAGGTCATGACTTGAGCTGAAGTCGGTTGTTTAAGTGAGCCACCCAGGTACCCCTGGTTTTCATAATATTTTAAGTTCTCAGTTTTCCCCTTTCTGTCACAGCTCCTGCTCCCTTTGGGGACCCTGTTTTGGATGAAGTTCTTATAACCATGGGCAGATGTTCTGCCCCCGTCTTCCAAGAGGCACCCATGTTTCCAAACTCACTTCCAGAGATGTCTTATCTTTGAACCTAGGGGGCTATTTTGCATTTGAGTGCTGATAAAAATTTAAACCCAGGCAGGCTCATGGCATGTCCTTCCATGAATGTTGACTAGGGAAGGACCCTCTTGCCCGACCTGGGGTTACCAGTTTGGGATTGAAAAACCAGGAATGAAATGTAAATTTTTTGTTTCTTTTTATAAATCAGAAAAATCTGACCGCCGGCGCACAGAGTTTCCCTGTGGACCTCAGCAAATGAACAGAGCCAATAGTGTCCAATCAGATTCAGTAAATTGCTTCAACCTTTGCTTGTACAGATTTACAAGCCGCATGTAGTATTAACTAAAAAAGATCGTTTTTTACTCTTGTGTCACGTGGGTACATAGCTCTGTCCCCTCCAACACGCACATATATTAGTTATTTAACTTTTTTTAAAGGCCAGTGCTGAAACATTGCACAATTTATTGCATTGATTTCTAAGCCTTTACAGGGCAACGTGTTGATTTTCAAAAGCAAACCAAAGGTGAATTTTTCTTGGTATTTGCTGCTTGCTTTGGAAGCCTGTGAGGGGTGATGTTTTTTGCATTTGAAATACAGGCATGCCCCAGAGATATTCGGGCTTGGTTCCAGACTACCACAATAAAGCAAATATCACAATAAAGCAAGTGAAATGCATTTTTTGGTTTTCTAGTGCATATAAAAGTTTTGTCTACAGTATACTGTAGTCTGTTAAGTGTGCATTAGCTTTAAGTCTAGAAAAACAATGTACATATCTTAATTAAAAAACACTTTATGGGGCACCTGGGTGGCTCAGTCGGTTGAGCGTCCGACTTCAGATCAGGTCATGATCTCGTGGTTTGTGGGTTCGAGCCCCGCGTCGGGCTCTGTGCTGACAGCTCGGAGCCTGGAGCCCGCTTCGGATTCTGTGTCTCCCTCTCTCCCTGCCCCTCTCCCACTTGCACTCTGTCTTTCTTTCTCTCAAAAATGAATAAAACATTAAAAAAAGAAAAAAAAACTTCATGGCTGGGGCGCCGGGCTGGCCCAGTTGGTAAAATAGTCAACTCTTGAGTTTTGGCTCAGGCCACGATCTCACAATTTATGAGATGGAATTCTCCACGGGGCTCTGCACTGACAGCTTGGAGCCCGCTTGGGATTCTCTCTTCCTCTCTGTCTGCCCCTCCTCAGCTCTCGCTCGCTCTCTCTTTCAGAAGAAGTAAACATTTAAAAAAATACGTTATTGCTAAAACGTGCTGTTATTTGAGCTTTCAGTGTGTTGTGATCACTTGGTTACAGAACGTCATACCAAATGTCGTAGTAATGAAAAAGTTTGAAAAATTGTGAGAATTACCAAATGTGACACAGAGACACGAAGTGAGCAAATGATGTTGAAAACATGGCACCAAGAGCCATGCTCCAGGGAGGGCTGCTGCAAACCTTCACCTCGTAAAAGACACGGTATCTGCGAATCGGGTAACGCGAAACGCAATACGACGAGGTGTGCCTGTAGATGGAAAATGAGACAGCTTGCAATGGGTTTTCGTCTTAAACCTTGTATGAAGCACGAAAGCACGTACCAAACCCAGAACCAGATTTTAAAGGATAAGCTCCATGTAAGTCGCATTGAATGGCAAAAAGGACATCCAGTCATCTTTCATCCTGTTCCCAGGTGTTAGATCCTTTTTTTTCTAATAGTTATCTCAGGATCTAGAACAGTCCAAGGGCGTGTAATCTAGTGTGCGTGTGTTTATGGAGCTGGCCCAGGGGAGTGTGGTGGGAACAGAAGGAAAGCAGAGGAGGGACAGCGCACTCCCCTTTATGTCTGATGGGCTGGATAAGGCGCCTCCTTTGCTCTCACCAAGCCTCACGTCCTCGCCTTTGAAATGACTCTAGTATGACTCACGGTAGAAACAATGACACCATGCATGCAAACCGTCAGCACGGTGCCTGCTGATGAGCACTCGGTAACTTTTAGTTGCCGTTATTCCCCAACTAGTCCCCCCCCCCCATCACCTCCTAGATTGAGACTTTGAAGGGGGGAGCTGGGAAGGGCTGAGGGAAAGAATTAGCATCATTTTCGCAGTAGCAAAACCAAAAGCACAGTCTACCCTCTCTTCTTCATCTATCCCTTGCCTCCGGGGCTGCCTGGGAGACTGGCTTCTTCCATCAGAAACAAGGAGAGTAGAGCACACACAAAGGGTGAGAATTATAATGGGTAGACGGAAAGAATGCACGTTAAGTGCAGGCGTTTCACTTTAAATGAGAATGACAGATTTTATTAAAAACCAGTCTTTTATTATAAAAGAGCCAAATGGCATCTATTAACCAGTTCAAGGAGATTTTCAGGAGTGTTTTCTGCAGGCTCTCCCGTGAAATAACTCTATGTCCTAGACAGGTGGGTGGACACACAGAGGGCAGGAGGGGGTGGGAGGGAATATTTCACACCAAATTAAATATTGGGTTTTAATACCAGGCTTTAAGTGGATGTGGTTACCGTCCTGACAGATATGCTAAGTAAGCTTTAAAATCAATACCGAATGGGAAGACTGGAAGGAACATTCACGGAATCTGGTGTGTTTATTTCTTTTCAAGCTCCAGGACTGCAGGACCTCCTTCAGCTCGCTTCAGGGCCAATGTCATAATGTATGTTTTAAGTAACCCAAATCCTCCGTGTTCTGTTGTCACCTTCCTCATTATCCATTCATGAAACTAACAGGTGTTGACCCTTTACAACGGTTTTGGCTCCACAAATGTGAAACAGAAAGTGAGACTCTGGCATTTTTATCACACCGGATGCGTGTCCGTGGCAAAGTCACCTTTGTGACTTTAAAAACTGTCCCTTCCTTGAAAGTGAGTGCTGGAAAGTAAGTTAACTAGTATTTTGTAGTCTGAGAAGAACAGAGTTGTAGCTATTTTTTTTAAGTTTATTTCTTTATCTTAGAGAGAGAGAGAGTGTGAGCAGGGAAGGGGCAGAGAGAGAGGGAGAGAATCCCATACAGGCTCCACGCTGTCAGCGAAGAGCCCGACGCGTTGACTCAAACTCACAAACTGTTATATCATGACCTGAGCCGAAATCAAGAGTTGGGCCCTTAACCGACGGAGCCTCCTAAGAGCCCCAAAGTTGTAGCTATTTTTAGAGTGGGATCTATGACCTTCTGGGTCATGTCAGAAACATATTTCCCACACATGTGGATCTCAGGTCCATGTGGAAGTCACTGATGAGAGATCAAGCAAAAACGAAAAAGCTGTATTTTAATTTTAATTTGTAATTGAAGGGTAATTGACATATTGAAGAACATGTTACAGACATGAATTTGTATGGTTGATTAGACTGATTGGGCCGGAATCTGGTATTAAGTTAAATATGACTGGTTAACTTTCTACCGGAAATATGGTCGTATTTTCTTTGGGGCTTATATCCCCATGGGCTATAAAATAACTCTGATTCTCGTGGGTTGACTTCCAAATATATAGGGCTGTTGAGCAGTCTTTGACTTTATCATTTATAAGAGGTATTAGTTAATCTATTGGGACAATTCCCTAAGATGATTAGAGTCAAGTAGACTCATCATCATGCTTGGGCATGACATCAAAAAATCAAGAAGTCATCATTTTGTTATTTTTAAATGAGTAAAGGTGTTTATGGCCTCGTTCCCTCCTGGGCAAGACCATTTCTTTCTTTTTTTATTTTAAGTTATTTTGGGAGAGAGAGACAGAGAGAACAAGCTGGAGAGGGGCAGAGACAGTGAGAGAAAGAATTCAGTGCAGAGCCTGACACGGGGCTCGAACTCACCAACCATGAGATCATGACCTGAGCCAAGATCAAGAGTCAGACGCTTACCTGACTAAGTCACCCAGGTGCCCCCAAGACCATTTCTGAATCATTTCCAATTATTCACTGTCCTCCTTAACACAACAGGCATCTCTGTGCATGTGGGGGTTGCCGTGACTGTTTTGGAGGGGAGGAATTTGGCCAGATGACTCATTTTGGCCAATGGAATGTGGGCAGAAGTGATATCTGTCACATCCGAGCAGAAGCCATGGCAAGATGCTGCCAAGCACCGTTTCGTTCTCAGCCCTGAGGCAGAAATGGGGCCATGCATTAGCTCCAGTCCTCCATGCAGAGGCACTGGGGGCACAGAGGATGGGGACCTGACTGGCTCAGGACCAGAGTGAGAACCAAACCCTTAATTGTTACTCATTGAGCTTAGGGGTTGTTTGCTTTGGCAAAATAATCTAGGAGGGGCTAACTAACAAACGTTGTCTTGGTGAGTGTGCTGGTACACCTACTGTTGACTGATTTATCTTCTCCGTGACACAACATCGGATTTTCATTCAGTGTAAGACCTGGCCAGTAAGTCTGTAGGAGAAAGTAAAGTCACATGTGGTTGGTCGCTGGTCGCTGGCTGGACCACTTGACCATTCCCAACTCCATCACTTTAAGAAAAAAATAGAGACTTCGTCTCACGGATTCGAGAGACGGTGGCTGATTTAGGAGGGACTAATACTAGTTTTTCAGAATAATAACACAGCAATAACTGGAGAGTGCTGTGTCAAATTTGGGAAAACAAAATGGAAACACGACATAAAATGAAAGCAAACACCGTTCCCTTCTCCAAAAGTTAACGTTCATATTTAAGAATATTTCCTACCAGTTTTCTTTTCCATTTTTATACATTGATTTTATACAGTGATTGAGTATGCACACACACACACACACACACACACACACACACACACACTGTAATAGAGTGCTTTTTTTTTTTTTTTTTTTTAAGATTAAATTTTTTTTTTCAACGTTTATTTATTTTTGGGACAGAGAAAGACAGAGCATGAACAGGGGAGGGGCAGAGAGAGAGGGAGACACAGAATCGGAAACAGGCTCCAGGCTCTGAGCCGTCGGCCCAGAGCCTGACGCGGGGCTCGAACTCACGGACCGCGAGATCGTGACCTGGCTGAAGTCGGACGCTCAACCGACTGCGCCACCCAGGCGCCCCAATGTGCTTTTCTAACTTTACATTTAATGATTTCAGTGAAATTTCATGTTTTATTAATAAATACTTAAATATTTTTAGAAAGTTAGATTGATATATACGATATATTTGTCTGAATAGTCTACCGTAAATAGTCTAAATGGTCTATAATTATCATTATAGATAATGCTAATAAAAAAAGTCTGAAAAAAAAATTTATTTCTGTAACTTACAATTTTGGAAAATGCCTATGCTTCTCCACATCCTCAGGTTAGAACAAGCTAGAGGAGAATGAGGTATGCCCTATGCCGATGTGATTGGAAAGGTCTCATTCTTTCAGGGTTGCTCAGGGTCAGTTGTGTTATTCTCTAAAGGCCCTAGGACTAGGAGAAACTAACACTACAGCATCCAAAGCAGAATGTCTGGATCGCCCACTCTTGATTCTTCTTTACCCCTTTGATTCGGGTCTCTTTCTTTTCTCCTCTTTTCTCCCTGTACTTTTCTGATTTAATTGCATGATGAGACAGTGAAACACAGCCATTGCAGTGCGCCCATTAGGGCATAAATATTCCCGGCCGAACATAATAATTTTTGTTAGAACCAGACTGGCCAGTCCATGACTGTGGAGGGTCAGACACAAGGACCCACCACAACCACACATTTACTCGATGAGCCTCACTGCATGGGCCACACCTTCCTCCTGGATAAACCGGATCAGGATACCACATCATCTCATTGCCTCTTTGGAAGCCCCAGGCAAGCCCACATCTATCCCAAGCCTCACCCTGTCCCCCCGAGAGGCCCCAGCTGTCCTCTGTGGTGGTTCTCCATTGCCCAGCCAGCTAAATAGCCTGGGGAGGCTTCAGGTGAGTTCATGGTGGTCTTTGGTAGATGGTCCAGGATCTTCATCGTGCTGTTTTCGAGCACTTGCTCTGTTTGGAGGCATCTGTAGGGTTTATAGGAAAATCTTTTCCCCCATCTTGTTTACCTCCAGGTGCTGGATTAAGTGACGGGCAGTGGCATTCGGTGTCCTTATCATTGAAAGGAAGTCACCTGAGTGTGATGGTGGATGGTGAGGCGGCCTCCGTGGCTCATTCCTTGCGTGGACGGATTGATTCCGGGGACACCTATTATTTGGGCGGTAAGTGAAGACCGGCTCTGTTGGCAGTCAAACCATCTTTGTCTTTCCAGCTCCCGCCTTCTAAGGTAACCGACTGTTTTAAATGAAGACTAATACTGAAGGACAACCTTTCTCTTGCAGTGATAGTCCCTGAGAATGTTGAGTCGGCAAAGACGGTAAATTATGGCCTCAAATGCACGTCTCCTGTGTGGCCTTGTTTAAATGTACCTGTGCTAAGATTGGCTTTGGATTTGGTACTTGCTTTCCCTGCAGTAACCTGGAAGGCTTCAAAAATGCTAGCGCCTGGTCCCGTCCCCAGGGATCCTGATTTATCTGGTTCTGAAGCCTGGGCAACACATTTCTTAAGGTCTCCAGGCAATTCTGTGTGCGGGCAACTGGGAGGGTCCTTGTTCCCTGTTTCTTACCTTTAGTACTTTGCTGTCGAGAATTTTGCTGCCAAATGACTCTCCCAACCTTCTCTTCAGGTTTTTATGTGACAATTTTATTGCTGCATGTGGGTATTCTTTCTGTAGCCTTCTCTTCTCCCTGAGGAGCCTGGTTCCCCAAGTGTGATCCGGGAACCAGCGGCATCAGCATCACGTGAGAGTTTATCAGAGCTTTGGATGGAGCATCCTTGACTTCCTGAACCAGAATCTGCACGTCACCAAGTGCAGAAACATTCCCAACATAGTTAGGAAACATTCTCTCCCCACTGTCTGTACAGAAGGGCCCCATTATATACAACAGAGCAAGAGAGCACTTTAATCGCTGTTGATGATTCACTCGTTACTTCGCGATGAACTTTACCAACACGACACCAGGCCGTCTCCCTGGACTGTAGTCCATGGACTGCTGCGTGTTCAGTAGACCTTTGACTGAGTCTGTCTGGGATCCTTTCAGCCAGGGAGGGGGAGCTTCTGAGGGTAATGAATCTCCATTCCTGAGGCATTCAAGTGAAAAATCTTGAGCCACCAGAAGCTTAGACCTGTCAATTGTAAGACTTATTTCTAATCTTGGCTGGAAGCCGGCCTTGATGTTATTCCTGTTTTGCATTTTATAGTTGTTTTTTTTTTTTTTTTTTCTAAAATAAGTTTGGAATCATGGTGGAGATAGCTTGATAGCCCAATAAGAAAGTATAAAATCCTCCCTAAGAATTGACAATAAGCACACAAACCATGAATCAGGGTGTTTAATCTTTCAAGCCCCCGAAAGCGGCCATCACGGTGCACATGGAGTATTGCCAGCAGCATTAACAGATCGGATTGCTGGCCTTCGTTGCTTGCTAAATATGGTGCATTTCTGACCCAGATAGTTTTTTAGACCTTTATGCTTATGATGGATTTTATAGCTCTGCAGAGGAACAGATTCCTTGAGAACTAAATAAAGAATTTATCCAGGAGCTATAACTTAAAAGGTAAAGGAGTTTGAGACACTAAAAGGGATAGGAAGAAAAATCCTTGCTATGTTGTTTAACGATACAAAATAGAATACTTGTTATATTTATTAAAGAGTAAAAAAAAAATACTTTTCAAAACCACAGAATCTTCTTTGATGCTTGAACCTTTCACAATTTGAACACTCTACATGTTCCCAACAGCCAACGCAGTTACCTGAGTAGGTAACTTCCTAGATATTTACACGCTGATGTTGTATGAATCAGTAGTTGCTACGCAATACATGTATATATTTTATTGTTTTTAACGTTTACTTGCTCATTTTGAGAGGAAGAGCGTGCACGCGAGGGCGAGCAGGGGAGGGACAGAGAGAGAAGGAGACAGAGAATCCGAAGCAGGCTCTGCTCTGCCGGCGCACAGCCCATGCGGGGCGCGAACTCACGAACCATGAGATCATGACCTGAGCTGAAGTCAGACGCTTAACCGACTGAGCCACCCTGATGCCCCGTGTGTATGTATTTTAAAATACTACTCATGTCTCTTGAATATTTATGGGCTCATCCCCCCAGTGTATGCAGTTAAACACTACTTTCAGGGCACCTGGCTGACTCGGTTGGTTGAGCATCCGACTCTGGATTTCGGCTCACGTCATGATCCCAGGG